GACCAGGCCAGACCGGCTGCCTAGAAGCATCAGAAACCAGCTGAGCTGCCTGCAGCCTGTGCAGTGTGCTCCAGGTTTCCCAGCTTCTGTGAGCTGTCACCTAGGCTGGTGTGGGCCTTGGAGGTGCAACTGTCTTCAAATCATTTCTGCTCCTGGAAGTAACCTCAATAAAATTCATTGGTCCACCAAGTTAGACTTTGGTGGTATCCACAATTTGCTTTGCCATAGGATTCCTATCTAGGGTGAACAGATATCCCAATAGTGTTGTGTTTCCCCAGGAAAAGATTTTCACACAACACCATGCCTTTTCATTAGAGCTTCAGGAAAGATAGACATAGGATTCATTTTTTGAGCCTAACAAAGCACAATGCTATGCCCTGCAAACCATACAAAGAGAACTGTTCAATTGTAGTTTTGCTATGGTCTTCAATTTATTGGAAATTGTTTCCTCTGTCCTCAAGATCATGACATAACAAGGTTTTACCCTGTTGGAACATAGTCCAAGAATGGAGTCCAGAATTCTGAGTGCTTGTGAGAAAACTCCAAGAAACAAGATGAGTCTTGTGACCTCAGTTTTTTTAAAACACAGATTTTTTTTTTTTTTTTTGCCCCTCACAGGTGTAGTGGATAGAAATGAGTTAACTTCAGCTGTTGTTATTCACATGCCTCTATGAAAAAGCATGATTCTGGCATGTGCAGTTTGTCCTTGTGTTTGAACACCTTACTCATGTGATTCTTAACCCTATAAACTGCCTGATACTCAGAATAAAGTTGGCTATTATATGAGACTTTAGTCCACCTCACTTTTAGGCCCCTCTCTCCCAGGGTCATGCCACCAACTAGATCAGTTAACACCACTTGTATTTTATCTTTCCCCAACTGTTTTAATCTAAACTGTTAGGAAATGGGTCTATCCTTTGTCCTTTTTCTTTAAATAGGGTCTTACTAAGTAGCCCAAGCTAGCATGAACTTGTTGACTTCATGATCCTCAAGCTGTGTCCTCCTAAGCCTTGTGAGTATAAGCCTGCAAGCCTGCCTCTGTCCTTAAGTGGCTTTCATTCAGCTATTTTTTTTAACACTACAAAAGAAGGTTCTCTATTATGTGAAAATTGACTGTCATACAGTCAATAGTTGAATTATCACAAATGTCCTCTGCAAATTTTTAGCATGGTTTTATTAAGGCTCATAGAAAACAAATATTTGTGGTCAACTAAGCAGTGACACCACTGGGGTGATCCAAAGCAAAAGAAAATAATAAAAAGGATAGATGGGTTGAATACAACTAAACACTGGAGGAAAACAGAACCTTTTAAATAAATGGCTATTTGATAAAAGTGGGTTCCTTTAAATGTGTTAAGAGAAACCAGGACCCAGGGACTAAATTGACATCTCTGAATTATACAGCAAAGACCAGAACTAGGTACTTTTTTCCAACAAGAAAGGCAGTGGATTGTGGATGTCAGCTCTCTTTTGCCATGGGTTTGGCAGCACGTGCCCTCCCTTACCTGCAAGCTACCTCACTGGCCCAGCACTTTGTTTTTCCTGAGTGCAGATGCAGTAACACAAACCATGCAGCAGAGTTTTTGCATTTGAGGAAATCATAGGGATCAGAACATCTGGAGAGCTCACGTTAGGAAAAAAAATCACTTTCGTGATCATGGTAACTCCCCTGCCACACTATTATAAAACTTATGCTTTGAATATATCCACTGAGATACTTGAAACCATTACAGGGTAAAATCTGACATATATGAAATCAAATGTTCCTTAACAACTATCTATGGAAGAAGTAACAGAAAAAATGTTTCTTGAAAAGTATCTTAGGAAGTGTTGTGAGGATGGGGAGAAAGGGGTGGTGGAAGTGATTCTTGTCCCAGCACCCACACTGCTTCTTTACTCAAGGCTCCCTTTAAAGGTTTCCCATGCTGGACTCAGAGATACAACATTGTCTCGAGCATCTTCTGTGAAAAACACAAATCTAAACAGGAGTTATTTAGACCTTAAGTTAACAGATTGGTCAACATATTTGAGAAAGCTATCATCTATCGCATAGCCACTGATAATGAGTTAATGGTGGCATATCACGTTAGAAGACAAGCAGGTAGCACTTCATTTCGAAAATACTCGGATCTTTACTCATATCTAAGGTCCTGAGAACATGAACATACCCTTGGTAGGCAATACAGTCGATGGTGGCAGGTCTATCAACCATGACCTTAAGTGCAGCCATAAGGTCATTATGATAAATGCTACCATAAATACAAGTCAGTAAGTCAAGTAAATGAACAGTAGAAAAGCAGGATGCTCAGAGAGTGGAGACAGGCCTAGTTATGCAGAAGAGAGTGGGCAAGAGTGGACGGGTAATGGGGTAACTGAATGAATACAATTTGCATTATGAATGTAACTGACAAGGACAAAACGAAACCCACATGCTTTTCCTATTCAATGTGCAATTCTATCAACTGCCACCCAAAGAAACGTAGACAAATTTCAAGGGCAGGGACATAAAATATCTCATTAATGAGTAACTCTAGGAAATCCATGAAATGTTCTTGTGAATTTCCAGTCTGGAAACAAAACATTCTAAAATGCTAACTTTCAGTCCAGCAGAAACCTTTGAAACAGTAAAACTCATACTAACCACATTTGCTAGATTTTAGGTAATATTAACATTTTACCTAAGAAGTCTTCATAGAGCTTTGCCTAAGTTTTCTAATCATCAAGTAAGGGCTACAACAGAGTAGGCAGTTTGACTATTACTCTAAAATTGTTCTCTCCAAAACAGGTGCCTGTTGACTCAGTACTTCTCTCCTCATACATATGTACACACACACAAAGTATACACATATATGTATACAACTACATCCAATGTCATATATATATATATATATCATTAAAGAATTATAAACAGCTCAAACAGCTCCTGCTATTTTGAAAGAAAAGCAGTTCACTAGGACAAAGGAATTTCACTCCTTTATACCAAACCACTAATTGCAGAAACTCGAACGTTTTATCAGGCTACAAAAGGCTTAAACAAAAAAAAAGTTTTCTTTATCCTTTGATGTTGGGACTTTGGGACTTGAACACAGAAAGTCTTGCACTTGTCAGACCACTGGGTTACATTCCCAGACCCCAAAGGATTCACTAATAACACACAGCTTATCAAGGCTCCTATTGCTAAATGGCTGTAATTTCCAAAACGAAACTCCTTAGTTACTTGATATTACAGAGTGCCAGCATTACTTTTCTCAGCCTTTAGCGAGTGTGCAGCTCTCACTTACCCCTCCAAGGTCCTTTATATCTTTTTGTAGTTTCTCACATACGGTGATAGAAGGCAAGTCAAGGTAAAATATTTTTCCCCAAAGCGGCTTATATTTGGATTTTTCCAGTCTATTATCGGCTTTCAAGGATTTCAAGGATGGTCTATTCTTTTCATTTTTGTCTTGGATGCCACCTGTGATTAAAAAAGAATCAGGTAATGTGCTTTGCAGACAAAACTTTATTTTAAACAATTATTCAACAGCTTTTTTTTGCAGAAAGGAAACATTATTAGTCATAACAAATTAAGTCATTAGAATTTAAACGTTTTCCTGAATATTACCACTTAGGATGAAAGCAAACTGCTCGGTATGGTTTCTACAAATTCTATATTGGAGAAAAAGAGCTGACTCATCAGGAAAGTCATTATTTACTCCTGTTCCATGTATGAAGGCAGAGAAGTCTATAAAGCCGATCTGGAAAGCTTATTTTCTCATAGTGTAAACTTCATGTGGTTATTAGCAGCGCTGTGAAAGCCCAACACAGGTGTTTCAAAATACTCAACACAGGTGTTTCAAATATTCAACGCCTATTCACCTAGGCACCCACATGCACTTATCTAGAATAAAGATCCTAATTCACAAGGGTTACTGGGTGCTCACATTTTGGTTTCATAGACTGAAACTAAACGATGGAGTTCATGCACTCCGTTTACATATAAGAACTTAGGCCCACTAAGGACACTGCCATTCATCCTTTTATATCAAAAGCAGATGAGAATCAAACAACTTCTTTAAACTTTTCGAACACAACCTGCACTTTAGTACATAGTTAACAGACGCAGATGTATCTCTTAGGAATTTTCCTTATAATGAATTTTTATTTTTATATGAAATATTGAAATCTGCTTTTGTCTATGAGGTTAAAGCACACACGCGCGCGCGTACACACACGTACGTGTACACACACACACACACACACACTCCATCTCCCTCATGAGTGAAGGGAACTAACAGTCACAAAAGGGAGTGGGCGCCTCCTCTGTGGGGCAGTGTGGCCGTCGGGGACCCGCGCATTGTCTGAAGCTTGCAGCCCCGGGAATGCCGGATCGCTCGCAGCTGAGGGGGGGAGACACGAGGGGCCCGGCCAGCGTCGGTTCCTCCCGGAGACTAACACCGAACGCCTTCCGGGCGCCGAGAACCCACAGAAATGCAAGAGCAGCAAGAAGCCCCCCGCAGGAAGCCCCTCTGGAATCCGCCGTGGAACCGGCAGAGCAGGAAACGATTAAAGGGACGGCGGCGGGGGAGGGGCTCCATACCCGGGAGAGGTGCTTTGCTGTGGATCCTCATGGTCTCGAGGCTCATGGCAGCCACCAGGCACCTACATGCTGGGTCCGCCCCGGGGGCCGCATGCGACGGCCGCGGACACAAAGCTCCAGGGGCCCGCCGGCCCAGGCCTCGGCGAAGGGCCGCGTCCCCTGGCGGAGTCTCAGAGCCGGTTCCGGCGCAGGGCCTCGGAGCAGGAAGGGGCCGGAGCTCCGACGTGAGAGCCGCGGCGGTTAAAGATTTGAAAACGCGTCACGCGACCGCGGCGCCCAGACGCGCTCCCCGCCCTTCCTACGCGGGGGCCGGCCTCGCGCAGGCTCCACCTGCCCCGCCTCGCGCGCCGCGGGCCCCGCCCCCGGACGGTGACCCCGCCCCCGCCCCGCCCGCAGCGCGCGGGCTCGCGGTGCCTCAGCCCCCTGTCCTCCGGCCTCCTCCTCGAGTTCCGGCGCCGCTCTGCAGACTTGGAAGTGTGGGGCAGCCCGGGTAGTGGACGCAGGTAGCCTAGGTGGCTTCACCGCATTGCCGTCATCACCGGCTAGGTTTGCTGGGACCCCGGCCTTGCAGTCGTCTCGCCACCAGGTACTCCAATTAACCCCGTGTGGGACGCGGGCCCGGCCCTGGGCTCCCGCAGACCTGCAGAGGCCGCAGAGATCCGGGGTGGCCGTGGTGGCGGCGGGGCCGGGGTTCACCCGCCGGACCCGACTCTCGCAGCCCCTTGGGTACTTTTGTTCTGTTCAGACCTGTTCTTTCTCTCCGTGTGTACAATTTTCTTTTTTGCAGCAACAAAAGAGTGGAAAATAAAGTCTCAGGGTTTTTCATCTGTAAAACGCGAATAGTTACGGGATTATGGTCAAGACGAAATTCAAGTGTCTGTGATTTGTTTTAATTTTGCTTTGTAAGTGAGAAAATGCCTTACAAAACTTGTTTGGAGTATACTACTGCTCTCACCCTTACAGACGTTATGTTTTGTACTGTTCTGCATTTCTTAACTCCTGGCTATGGTAGACACTCCTTATAGTATTGATTTTTGATACTAGTCAGTGCAAATAATTATATTCAGGCACAGATAGGTGAATTGTAAGACTATTAGCCAAAGATGACATCAAGATGGATTAGGATTGCTGGAAGGAATGATTTTGTTTTGAACAGGTTAAGGGTGGAGGCTGGAGTGACAATCTTGGAACTGTCTATCTTTATTAAACTGCTTAAGACATTTGGAGATAATTTGTAATCACAAGAAATGTCTGAAAGAGGGAACCAGAAAAGGAAATATCTGTTAAGAGACATTGTACTGGCAAATTTGAATTTATACACACATACTTAATAGATCTTGAGAAGGAGGAGATATAGTTTGAGCAAACATTTAAAAATATTTTTTGGCGGGGAGAGATTTAATTTTCAAAGTGTAAACTACAGAAAGAACACAGAATTTCCATGTTTGATAAACGTTAACACTGAGTAGAATTAAAGCCCTGAGGGAGGGCAGAATTCCTTGGAGTAGGGCTTGTGAGACCAGACCTGGACTGGAGAGTCGGGATAAGGAAATGAGAGTGAAGAAACGGAGAGCAAGCTGAGGAGTTGAAGAGCCTGGGAGCAAAACTTAATGATGGGAAGGCATGACATTTTCGTACAGAATTGAGGTGGTCCCTGTTTCGCTAATCTAGGAATTGGATAATTCCGAGGCTCTAATTTAGTCTGAAATGGGCCACTGATTCTTAGCTGTTAGGGGGAGTAAGGGGGAATATTCTTGAAAGCATAGTATGGGCCTGGAACTGTAAGAACTCTTAATTACCTTTGTGTTAATGACCCTTGCACAACTTTGTCCCCTGCATAGTTCAAACCAGCTAAAACCTGAAGAGGCTATGTTTCTGAAGTGGGAGATGCCTTTCACTTCCTTAAAGGCGGTTAGAATGATTATAGGGGTAATTACAATTTGAATGGTAATATAGCTAAGTACTAGACTTGAAGTCACAGGTTGAACACACTGAAGAAAAGTGATAGAAGGGAAGATGGGTTGGCTTTCTTTCCTTTTCTTTTTCTCTTTCTTTTTTTTGAAGATTTCAGGATATGGGAAAGATTCTTTGGAAAATCATGAAAACTGAAGTCGTTTTATGCTCTTGTGAAAGGTGATTTATATTTCTTCTGAGATAGGACAATGAAAGAGTTGGAACGGTGTTAGACTCGCCCTTATGTGTTATGTAAGGGATAATTCCAAACTATGAATAAGCAAAACATCTACTCACCACCTAGTTAGTGATTTTTCAGTCTACCACCCAGTATCAGATGGAACCCAAATCTTACAGGTGCCACAGGATGAAGGACTCGGTATAAAAGCAGAAGTCTCTTTACTTCCTGTCAGTAACCAGGTCTATATAAGAAGGTGGTTTATGTTTTTGTTATTTCTCATTTTGAGATGGTCTCCCTTGTAGTCCAGCCTAGCCTGGGACTTACTGTCCAGCCCAGGCTGACCTTGAATTCAATAGAAATACTTTCATCAGCCTCCCAAGTGCTGGAATTACAGGAATGATCACCATACCCAGCCTAAAGATCTTGAAAATGGACTTTAATAGAGTCCTTAAGATGTAAAGAAGGCTTTATATACAAGAATAAATGAATGGGACCAGAGTTATTTATAGTAAGAAACTGTATTAAGTCATTCTGTTAAGGAAACATGGAAAACATTGGGCAGAATTTTGTGCGTCCAACTCGTTTGACTTGTTTATTTTATTTTATTTTATTTTATTTTATTTTATTTTATTTTATTT